ACCGTGTGGGACAAAAGTGAGGGTACACAAAACTGTAGGGACAGGAGGAGGAACTTGTAGAGAGGACAAAGCTGTCCTCAGATAGTTACAGGCCAGGTCGTATAGTACGTATGAGATTTTTCTTAAGAATTATTTTATTTCACTTTATTTATTTACTTATTCATTTTAATTTGACCAGAGAGGGAGAGAAAGAGCAAGAGAGAGAGAACGTGAGAAAGCAAGCCACCAGGTCTGGGACTCCAACCACGGTCAGCCCTGTGGGAGTCCAGCGCCCTTAATCACCACGCCACCTGCTGGCCCCAGAAGTATGAGATGTATTTTGTGAGAAGCTAGAAAAAACAAGACTTCATTTCAAAGCAAAGAAAAGCTTCCTAGGTCAAACTGTCCAAAGGTGAAATTAATAGCCTTAGAAGTTAGTGTACTTCTCCTCCCTCTGAGAAAGAAAAATGGGATTTATAGTTGATGAGTGCCTAGGCACTGAATTATGTGCTTAAATGAATGATTTCACTAATCCTCATAATAAGCAATGAGAAGATGGAGGTTCAGGGAGGTTAAGTAAGTTGCCTAAGGTCACACAGCTACTGTGGAATTTATTGAATGTCCAAAAGCCCATGTTTTTTCCACACTAATCTACCGAGAGCCTGTAGTCAGGGTTGTTAGCAGAAGGCACTTACGATTATCTTTAAGCTTTTTTCCAGTCCTCACAGCTTCAGATTATAACTCAGTCAAGCAAAAAAAAAAGGTGGAATCAGGATGTGTGTTAAGGTGACAAATGTGACTTTATTTCTGTGCCAAGCCAGTGAAGTCACCTGAGACCAAGTGTCTCTAGCTCACCTCATCTGCATAAACTGTGTCCTTGGATTCTCCCATAGTTAAAAGCAGCTCTGCATTCTAAATGAGTGTGTGCAAATGTGCAAACGTGTGTGTTTACTGCACAGCGTCCAACTGAGGACAGAGGGGCTGTAGAAGAAATAAAATGGAAATGGAGTGAGCTTCCAGGGCCAGGTCTTCACAGTGAAAATCTCCCTTGCTTCTCTCTTGGTAGCTAAAGATGATTGAAGTAACAGAGAACAGAACCAGGAAGGAGACCTTCCCTTAAGGGGGCTTCCTGGGGTGTCTGTTACACAGCTGTAGTACAAGGATTTGAACAGAAATAGATGTCACTTATTTCAAAAAGGCATGTTATTTTGGCCTTCGAGAGTGTATTTTTTTTTTTGAGGTTTTTTGCTGTAGGGCGTGTGCGCTCGCCAGACAGACAGAGAGAGACAGAGAGACAGAAAACGAGAAAGCCCCCCCTGGGGAGTGGCCATGCCACAATCCCTTCTCCTCCATTCTCCTCTCGGGATCTTGGGCACGCACGCACATGCGCCTGGCGTGAGTTTTAAGCCACCAGGTCCAGGACGCAAACCGCGGTCGACTACGTGGGAGTCCAGCGACATAGCCATTATGCTAACTGCTGGTTCCCTAGAGAGTGTATATAGATCATGTATATACAGTCCACTCTTTTTTTATTTTATTTACTTATTTTTTTAGAGGTTTTTGCTGTAGGGTGCATGTGCTCACCAGAAAGACAGAGAGAGACAGAGAGACAGAAAGCGAGAAATCACCACCCAGAGGGGATAACCACGCCGCTACAATCCCTTCTCCATTCTCCTCTTGGGATCTTGAGCAAGCACACACATATGCCCAGCGTGAATTTAAGCCACCGGGTCCAGGACTCGAACCGTGGTTGACTACATGGGAGTCCAGCAACATAGCCATTACGCTAACTGCTGGTCCCCAGTCCACTCTTGTTTTTTGAGGAAATGATGTTCTATAAAGTTGCTGCAGCCACTGTATTGGCAAATACTGAACCAGTTCTCCTAGGCTTAGGTTCCTATGAGCTCCCAGTAACAGCACTATTACCAACTGCTAGGGGCACAATGCTGTTTTTTATGTATTTCTGCTGAAAGAAAACTTGTTTACTGTATATTGTTGATCTATAAACATTGACCTGACCAGCTGCAACTCAGGCCTGGAGGAAGCTCATCTGACACACTTGTTTTCTCTATGAGGCACGACACAGTCTTCTTGGGCTTAGGGCTCCAGGTGGCACTTCAACACTATGTTTGGGGAACATTAATAATAGCAAAATCTCCGATAATGACAAAAATGTGACAGGTAGGCGCCAAACAGACGCTGAGCAGGATTCTCGTCTATAGTACGAGAGCCGAAGCAAGCGGGCGGTGCCACTTTGTTCCTCCTCAGCTGGGGATGGGAGTGCCAGGCAACTGGAAGTTTTGGTCACTCTGTGTCCATCTGTAAATGACTACAGAAGTGCCAGACGTATTGACTTTGGGGCCACAAGTCAATCTGAGAGAGGCCAATATGCAAATGTGTCACGCACAATAGTGAACACTGACTGTCTTACCTATTTAAAACATGGCTCTCTTTTTTTTCTCCTTGCTTTCTCCCAATTCCCTCCCTTCTTCTTCCCTTGTAACTCCAAAATCGTAGGTACATGGAATCGCAGGCCTATCTGCCCTGCCCTAGGCTTCTTGAGCCTCTCAAACTCTCAGTTGTCTTGTCTGCAAAATGGGGATAATACCATTTATCTCGTAGGATTGCTAGGGGGATTAGATGAAATAGCACTTGTTTCCCTCCATAGAACAACCTAGAGAAAGCAAAAAAAGGCAGTTATGAAGAGCGATTTGACATAAGGTATATAGACCTCACTGCCTACTGTCCCTCTCCCTGCTGTCCTGGTCAGGGCTGACTTTTCTGTGGGTAGCGTTATGTTAGGTAAAGCAAATAAGACTAAATGTGGCCTAATCTGAGAGAAGACTCACACTGACCCTCAAGTCTTTCTTTTTTTTTTTTTAAGAGAAATTTTTGTTATAAGCCATGTATACTCACTGGAGAGACAGGGAGACAGAAAGCAAGATATCGCCCCCCAGGGGGAATGGCCATGCCGCAATCCCTTCTCCTCCATTCTCTTCTCAAGATTTTAGACACGCACACACCTGCATCCAACATGAGTTTTAAGCCACAGAGTCTAGGCCTTGAACCGCGTTCAACTACGTGGGAGTGCAACGATGTAACCGTTACACCATCTGCTAGTCCCAACACTAAATCCTTCATGCCATTGGAAAAAACCTCAAGAAAAAAAAAGGAAATGGATTCTATTATAATAATTGGTCCATGAGTCTGATTTTAGTCATATGTCTTAATTACTTGAGACACTAAATTTGTTTTCATGTCATTATATTTGGTTTTCTAAACAGTGCTTCCGAAATCTTTCAAAAAAACACTGGAGCTGCAACCACTTTGGAAAATAGTAGGGAGGTTTCTCAAAAACGTAAAAATTAAATGACCATATGATCCAACGATTCCACTTTGGGTTTATATCCAAAACAATAGAAAACAGTGTCTCAGGTAGGTCCTGCAGCCTTCTGGGTAAGGGAGCTGATCCCACATGGCTACCTGCAGTCCAAATCTGGCTCCGGTGGCTTGAAAAACATGCTGGGTATGTGTGCATGTGTGCCCAAAGTCCTGACAGGATGGAGAAATGGAGGAGAAAGGATTGTGGCAGGAGCACACACCTTTTGGGGAGGTCTTGTCTATGTGTGTGTCTCTCTCTCTCTCTCTCTCTCTCTCTCTCTCTCTCTCTCTCTATTTCTCTCTGGAAAGTGCCCATGCCCTCTGGCAATTTAAAAAAAAAAAAAAGAAAATGTTCCAAAGAGGTATTGGCATACCCATTGTTCCTAGCAGCACAATTATTTTTTAAAAGAATTTCTTTATTTAACTTTATTTATCCATGTATTTATTTTAATTTGACCAGAGAGGGAGGGAGAGAGAGAAAGAAAGAGGAAGAGAGAGAGAGAAAGTGAGAAAACAAGCCGCCAAGTCTGGGACTCAAACCCCAGTCAGCCATGTAGGAGTCCAATGCCCTTAATCACCACGTTACCTGCCGGTCCCCTTAGCAGCATTATTCAAAATAGTCAAGAGGTAGAAGTCACCCAATTGTCCATCAACAATCGACTGGATTAACAAAATGCACTGTGTACACACAATGGAATATTATTTGTTATTATTATCATGTCATATTACACTTCCTTTTTTTTTGAGAAGTTTTTGCTATAAAATCTTGTCACATGCTATGACATGGATGAACCTTAAAGGTATTATACTAATAAATAAGTCAATCACAAAAAATGGCAAATACAATATTCTCCACTTACAGAGCTATCTATAGTAGGCAAATTCCTAGAAACAAACAGTAGAATGGTGGTTACCAGGGGCTGAAGGGAAGGGAGGATGCGAGCTGCTGTTTAATGGGTAAGGGGTTCAGGTTGGTGAAAGTTTTAGAAATCTGTTTACAATAATGTGAATATACTGAACACCACTGAACTGTGCATTTGAAATGGTTACAGTGGTAAAGTTCATATTACGTGTTTTTTTTTCTTGACCACAGTACAAAAGAGAGTTAGGGGGACCAGCAGTTAGCATAATGGCTATGTCGCTGGACTCCCACATAGTCGACCGCGGTTCGTGTCCCGGACCCGGTGGCTTAAAATCACGCCGGGCACGGGTGCGTTTTTTCTTGACCACAGTACAAAAGAGAGTTAGGGGGACCAGCAGTTAGCATAATGGCTATGTCGCTGGACTCCCACATAGTCGACCGCGGTTCGTGTCCCGGACCCGGTGGCTTAAACTCACGCCGGGCACGTGTGCGTGCGTGCCCAAGATCTTGAGAGGAGAATGGAGGAGAAGGGATTGCAGCGTGGCCATCCCCCTGGGGGGTGATTTCCTGCTTTCTGTCTCTCTGTCTCTGTCTGTCTGGCGAGCGCACGCGCCCTATAGCAAAAATCTCTCCAAAAAAAATTTTAAAAAGAGCGTTAGGGATCAAACAAGCTGGAATCTGCTCATGCTTCGTCACTAGATACTGTCAACTCTGAGTTCCTGCTCATGCAGGAATCTATATTTAATAAACATAAAACCTCTGGTTGGCCTCTCCGTAGGTTTTAAGCAGGTGACCAAGGCGGTGAAAGAAGTGGCGTTGCTGTCCTGCGATTACAACGTTTCTCCTGAGCAGCTGGCAAGTGTCCGCATCTACTGGCAACGGGGTGATGCAACCGTGCTAACCGTCATCTCCGGGCAAAAAGAGGTGTGGCCAGAGTACAGGAACCGGACCACCATTGACCTCACTAATAACCTTTCCATTGTGATCCTGGCTCTGCGCCTGTCGGACAGGGGCCAATATACCTGTGTTGTTCAGAAGCTTGAAAAAGGAGCCTACAAACTCAAACACCTGACTTCAGTGATGTTAAAGGTCACAGGTTGGTGGGATTTTTTGATGTATTGGCATATTTGTGTGTGTGTGTGTGTGTGTGTGTGTGTGGTGTTTTAGACAGGGTCGCTATCATGAGCCTCAGGCCTCAGCCTCCCAAGTAGCTAGGACTACAAATCCGTGCCATGTAGCCTGGCTTTTTTTTTTTGGAGAGGTTTTTGCTATAGGGTGTGTGCGCTCACCAGACAGACAGAGAGAGAGAGAGAGATAGAAAGCGAGAAATCACCCCCCAGGGGGGATGGCCATGCCACAATCCCTTCTCCTCCATTCTCCTTTTGGGATCTTTGGCACGCACGAACACGCGCCCGGTGTGAGTTTAAGCCACCGGGTCCGGGACTCGAACCACGGTCGACTACGTGGGAGTCCAGTGACATAGCCATTTCGCTAACTGCTGGTCCCAACGTAGCCTGGCTTTTCAGGATGGCCAGGAATGAACTGGGCTTCCCATGTGGTCTCAGCCTGCTAAAACACAGTCACCATGACTGGGCCTAAGCAAGATTCCTTGTGCCTTAAAGACACATACATGCCTATGGATTTAAGTGAGTATTTGACCTCACTTATCTCACTTCATTTCTTAGGGTGGAGCCTCTAGTTTTACAATAAACCCTAACTAATTTCTCAAGATAATTCTAGAAGGATCTCTTACTGGGGGTTTCTTGTGCTTTGACAATCTGAGTTCCTGATGGTCACCCTGGGGCACTGCGATGACCGGAAGTGCTTTCTGAATCACAGGGGACATCTCTGTGCCATTAGCCACACTCCATCCAGCAGCCTATGCTCCCGGAAGTCGGTTGCAGAGGTCAAAGAACAATGCAGGCGGAGATAACTTTTAAGTCGTATTAGAATGTCTATTACTGTGGCCGTTCTAATCTTTTAATGTCTTCGATATGATCCTTTACTCATGCGTGTTCAAAGCTCTAACCTAATCATCAGTCTCACAAAGTTAGATGTTAGTGCTTTCGAAGTTCATTTATGTGTACCACAAGGAAGATAACTGGTTCACAAATCGAAGCCATGTTCGTGCTCCTGTCAAGGGCAAGCATTTCTCACCTTGGGTAGGAGGGAGCCTCGCCTTATTCACTGCTGATCGTACATGGAGTCCAGCTTCTGTTGAGAAATTGTGGCTCTGAGCCATTTTCTCATGCACGAATTTCAAAGATATATTTCTGCCTGACTCTTGAGACTCCACTGAACACTAGACCTTTCACTTAATAAATCATAGTGATTAACCTTGACAATAGACAACTTCAGCAGGCCCTTCGTGAATTCCTCACTGTTCTTTCCTGCTCTGGTCATTAGCTAGGAGTCCTTGCCTGCAGTAACCAGACCGCACCCGAAGCTTAGTAACATGGAGCTCTTATTCCTCACTTTGTCCATCCCCTCTCATGAATAGAGCATATGATTATAGGCTGAAGTAGTTCTCCTGTCACCAGGGCGAGAGTCTCTCAGGCTCTTGACCTTGTCACAGGAAGGCAAAGCAAAGCAAACTCATTGTGGAAAGGTGAGAATGCCTCCACAGGCAGAACAGGCTGAGCTGTAGGAGGAGACAACGCCCAGTGCCCTTGCGGATCTCCCTTTGTGGGAAATTTACATGGATATTCATGATGGGGGTGGAGTTTTAGAGTGTAGGGTGGTCTTGACCACCCCTGGAAGGGTATTCATTTGTGCACATGTCCTTTAGCTGAACATGCTTGGACATAGGATGCATCTAAGCCCTCCTCCCAGGGTTGTGTTTTCTAGCATACTAATAAAGCAAAGGCGGGACCAGCAGATGGTGTAATGGCTATGTCACTGGACTCCCATATAGTCGACTGCAGTTCGAGTCCCGGACTCGGTGGCTTAAACTCATGTCGGGCATGTGTGTGTGCATGCCTAAGATCCTGAGAGGATAATGGAGGAGAAGGGATTGCGGCATGACCATCCCCCCTGGGGGGTGATTTCTCGCTTTCTGACTCTCTGTCTTTCTCTGTCTTTCTGGCGAGCGCATGCACCATATAGCAAAAACCTCTAAAACAAAACAAAAAATGCAAAGGCTTACTACAGGTCCCCTATAGTGCTAGTGGGCGTGAGTGGCCACGGAACTGCCACAAATCATGATGGCCAGGATACTTACAGTTTCTTTTTCTCTGTGAAGTTTTGTTACTGGGCTTGACCTGGTTCCTCTCTCCTCCCCCGTCTTAATCTCCTTCTCTGTGAAGTTTGCTCTCTCTTTCTGTCTCTCTCTCTTTTTTTTTTTTTTTTTTTGGAGAGGTTTTCGCTGTAGGGTGTGTGCGCTCGCCAGACAGAGAGAGACATAGAGACAGAAAACGAGAAATCAGCCCCCAGGGGGGATGGGCACGCTGCAGTCCCTTCTCCTCCTTTCTCCTCTTGGGATCTTGGGCACACACACACACACACACACACACACACACACACGCCCAGCATGAGTTTTAAGCCACCGGGTCTGGGACGCGAACCGTGGTCGACTACGTGGGAGTCCAGTGACATAGCCATTACACTAACTGCTGATTCCCTCTTTCTCTTTTTTATAAGAGAGATTTTTGCTATAGGGAGTGTGTGCTTACCAGAGAGAGACACTGGGACAGAAAACAAGAAATCACCCTTCGAGGAGATGCCAACGCCATAATCCCTTCTTCTCTATTCTCCTCTCGGGATTTTGGGCACACACACACGCACCTGGATGAGTTTAAGTTGTCGGATCTGGGACTCAAACCACAGTCAATTACATGGGAGTCCAGTGACATAACCATTACGTCATCTGCTGGTCTCTAAAGTTTGTTCCCAAGGTTGGTCTGGTTTTCAACTCCCACTTTTTCTCTGCTGGCTCACTTTAAAATTTTGACATGCATTGAATCCTGAAACTCTCATCACTAAAGCTGTTCCTGCTAGTCTCAGCATTTTTCCCACTACAAGATTCCTTTGAGAAGCAAAGAATTAAATAAGCTCTCATTTGGCTAAAGAGAGCAATTGTCCTATTTCCCCAGGACACACGATTTTAGTGCTAAAACTAGGAAAATCTGAGGCAAACTAGAACATGTTGGTTACCTACATTTGTCTAAGATTGCAAAATAATAATATATTAACAGCACAGCAGCATATGAAAACCTCCATTTACCAGTATATTTGAGACTAGGTCTACTAGATCACAGATTAACTAGGTTAACAAATTTTTAGCACCCCCCCCCCGTTATATTTTTTTTTCTTGAAGAGGTTTTTGCTATAGGGCGCGTGCGCTCACCAGACAGACAGAGAGAGACAGAGAGACAGAAAGCGAGAATTCCCCCCCCAGGGGGCTGGCCATGCCACAATCCCTTCTCCTCTGTTCTCCTCTCGGGATCTTGGGCATGCATGCACACGCGCCCGGCGTGAGTTTTAAGCCACCGAGTCTGGGACTCTAACCGTAGTCGGCTACATGGGAGTTTAGTGACATAGCCATTACACTAACTGCTGATCCCTCACCCCCCCTCCTTTTTTTATTATTGTCAGAGGACTCGTGCCCTTGCCTGAGAGAGGGAGAAGGAGAAGAAGAAACACCCCACAGTGGAGCAGGGTCTCTTCTCCATGTCTCTATCCTATTGGGATTTGGGGCACACATGCACATATGCTCATCGTGTTTCTCAAGCTTCCAGGTCCAGGATGTAAACTGTGATCAGCCATGTGGGATCTGACTCCCTTCACCACTAGGCTACTGAGTCAGCCCAAAATTTCACCTTTCTAAAACACATGTATTTCTTCCATTCTTCATAAGATAACCTTACCTTTCCCCACTAAGAGTCTTTTAAAAAGGAGATTAATTGATTTAAATGAGACACAAAAGATTAATTTTTGACGGTTCGCAGTCTTGCAAGGCCTTTAGGAGTGGTTGCTCTGAACAGGTCATCTTGTAGAAGGGATAGGAAGGCCAGCCTGCAGTGTCATGCTGAAGGCAGCTGGATCCCACATGGCTGACCATGCAGGTCAAGTCCGGGACTCTCTGGCTTGAAAGACAAGCTAGGAGCATGTGCATGCATGACAAAAATCCATAGAGGAGGGAGAAATTGAGAAGAAGGTATTGCAGCATGGCCATCTTTCATGGGAGGGGGGTGCTTTTTTGCCTTCTCTCTCTCTTGCTCTAACTTTCTCTGGGGGGGGGGCGGTATATGTGCCCTCTGGCAAAAAAAGAAAAAAAAATAGAAAGGAAACGAGACAGAACTGTGGCTGTTCTAAACCTCATCCGACACTGACCAGATTATTTTTTAAAATAATTATTTATTTTATTCACTATTAGTATTAGTCTTAAATTTTGCTATAGGTCAGAGAGAGAGCGGGAAAGCTGGAAAGCTCACCAGAGAGACAAAGTTGGAAAGCACGTTGCCAAGGCCAGGACTTGAACCGCGGTTGACCATGCGGGAGTCTAGCACCTTAACCACCATGCCACCTGCTGGCCCTGACCAGATCATTTTTAATCCCTGGTATTTGTAGCATTCTTATAGTTTAACTATTTCTCAGAAAAGCAGAGTTCAGGAACAAACATGAATCATAAGTTAGGGTCTGAGTTATTTGGATTTCTTACCCCAGGTTATTATACACATGATTTATTGAAAAAGCAACAGTGTTGGTCGCCAGTGTAATAACTTGATCTTATAGGATAAAATTAATGAGTAGGAAATAATAATGCCAACTAAAAATGGCCTAGGAATTGTGAGATTTCATTAAGGACAGGGTTCATTAAAAAAAAGGGTCTTCACCTCCAGCCAAACCCAAGACTTTCCCTGTCCTGGTCATGATAACCACTTGTCATGGCTTCTCCTTTTCTGCATGTTCCTCAGTATCACTAGTTCATCCTGAAACCTTTCACCCCGTAGCCTGATTTAAGAGAAGGAACTCGGGGCCAGCAAGAGGCATGGTGGTTGAGGCACTGAACATTCCCACATGGCCAACCATGGTTAGAGTCCTGGATCAAGTGGCTTGCTTTCTCACTTTCCCTCTCCCGTGTGTCTCTCTCTGGTCAAATTAAAATAAATAAATGAAAAAAAAAAAAATAATTCTAAAGAGAGAGAGAGAGAGAGAGAGAAAGAACTCATCTAAGGGAGGATGAATTTAGGAACCTCTTAAACCCATCTATCATCTAACTTCCTGTGTGCCAAGTTTTGTGTTGAGTGATTTAGATTAATGATGTCATTTCATTCTTACCACACTGGAAATCAGACATTATTATCCTCACTTTGTCTTATTACCCTTAAAGTAAGAGTAAAAGCAGATAAGCCATTCATCTAGGTCATAAAGTAAATTTGGTTCCCAAACCTGCTCTCAGTGGCCGTGTTAATGACATCTCTGTGGGACTCAGAATTCTGAAAAGGAAGCTCATATCAGGAATGCAGTGTGGGGATGGGGAGGAGGACTAGATTCCCACACTTCTGCTGAGAAGTTCAGTTCTGTAAGTCTAAGTGAGGAAGCAATTAGGGCAGCCTTTTCCAAAGTTCTCTGCAGTCGTTTCCCTGCACTTTGCCTTACATGTACTTCAGTATCTTATTGGTGGTCAAAAATGCAAGTGAGAGAGACTCGTGTCTGGGAGGAATGCTAGAAGAACCTCTGCCAGTATCAGAAGAGCAAGGGAAGAGTCAAGCGCTGCAGTTCGGACTGCAGGCTCAGGACTGCACAGACTGGACACAGGGAAATCTGAGTAAAAGAGTACTTTTTAAAAAGCAAGGGAGGCCCAGCTTCTGTGCTACCTGACAACAGAGCTGCAGGCTACATGCTGACTGGGTTGATCCCCAGCCACATTGCCCTGCAACACACCACATGTGTGCATGTGTGCCTAGGATCCTGGTGAGCTGGAGGACTGGAGGAAAGTGACCATGGCTCTGGGAAGGCTGCTTCTCTCCCTCTCTCCCTTTACTGTGTGTGTGCGAGAACTCTATCCCGCTCACACAAAAAGCAAGCAAGGAACTGCTAAACACAAAGTAAAGGCAGTGGTTACCTCCGGTGTAGGAAAATAAAGAGACAGGACAGGGGAGACCACACAAGTGGATTTACACAAGTTACTGTCGATGTTTTGGTTCTTGAGTTAGATGGTAGGTTCACAGGTGGGCCTTATAGGGGACCAACAGTTAGCATAATGGCTATGTCGCTGGACTCCCATGTTATCGACCACGGTTCACAACCCGGACCTGGTGGCTTAAACTCACGCCGGGCACATGTGCATGCATGCCCAAGATCCGGAGAGGAGAATGGAGGAGAAGGGATTGTGGCGTGGCCATCCTCCCTAGGGGGTGATTTCTCATTTTCTGCCTCTCTGTCTCTCTCTGTCTTTCTGGCGAGCACATGTGCCCTATAGCAAAAACCTCTTAAAAAAAAAAAAAAAACAGAAAAAACAGGTGTGCATTATAGTTTAATAAATAAATAAATAAAAGAACCATTTGTATATCTGAAATAGCAGACAGAAAAGAAGGATAAGAGGGGAAGGAAAGGAAAGGACAGGCTCCGGTTTCAGAAAAACTTGAATTCAGGGCCACCCCTGTGACCTAGTGGCTAAGGGGACTGGATTCCATGTGGCCAATGCAGGTTTGAATCCTGTCCTTGATGGTTTGAAAAATACACCTGGCGTGAGTGCCTGTGAGCCCCAAATCCTGACAGTATAGAGAAATGGAAGAGAAGAGCAGCGTGACCACGCTCCAGTATAAGGTCTTTCTCCCTCTTCCTAGCTCTCTGTCTCTCCCTGGTGAATGTAAACACCCTCTGAACCTGCGTCAAAACAAAACATAACAGGGACCAGCAGTTGGCGTAATAGCTATGTCGCTGGACTCCCATGTAGTCGACAGTGGTTTGAGTCCTGGACCCGGTGGCTTAAACTCATGCGGGCACGTGTGCATGTGTGCCCAAGATTCTGAGAGGAGAATGGAGGAGAAGGGATTGCAGTGTGGCCATCCTCCCTGGGGTAAGGGGGTGATTTCTCACTTTCTGTCTCTTTCTCTGTCTTTCTGGCAAGTGCAAGCGCCCTATAGCAAAAAAAAAAGCTTGAATTCTTATCCCAGTTTTGCAACCTGGATATGATTTCTCTAAGTTTCAGATTGATTATTTACCAAATGAATTCATATTAGGTTGAATGGTATGAAATGACTGGTATTTGACCTTTATGGTCTACAATTTACTTCTTTTTTTTTTTTTTTTGGGGGGGTTTTTCCCCTAAGGCCAGACAGACAGAGAGAGAGAGAGAGACAGAAAGTGAGAAATCGCCCCCCCGGGGGGGATGGTCCCGCCACAATCCCTTCTCCTCCATTCTCCTCTCAGGATCTTGGGCATGTACACACACGCGCCCAGCTTGAGTTTTAAATCACCAGGTCCGGGACGCGAACCGCGGTCGACTATGTGGGAGTCCAGCGACATAGCCATTACGCTAACTGCTGGTTCCCTACAATTTACTTCTGAGGGTTGTTGTGAGACAAAATGAGGTAATATCCAGACCTAACAAATGAGGGCCCAATAAATGCTGTTATTTTTCTCTTTACCTTATACAATTGCAGTCCTGTGTCAACACTTCTCCACACAAACCTATTTCTTCTCTTTAATAACTGCTCTTTTATCTCTAACAAAAGTAATTAAGAGGGGCCAGGAGGTGGAACGGTGGTGAAGGGACTGGACTCCCACATGGTTGACTGCAGTTTGAGTCCTGGACCTGGTGACTTGAAAATCATGCTGGGCATGTGTGCGTGTGTGTCCAAAATCTTAGGAGTAGAATGGAGGAGAAGAGATTGCAGTGTGGCCATCCCTCCTGAGAGTGATTTCTCGCTTTCCTTCTCACTGTTTCTGACTAGTGCACATGCCCTATGGCAAAAAAAATTTTTTTTAAAGAAAAGAAAGGCAGTAGTGAAGAATCGACATGACCCATTTAAATCAATCTTTGGATTGCATATGACTATGAATGACTTACGGGTAGTTACAAAGGATACTAATGTTATATTTTATTATTCTTACTAAAGCAGATAATTTATGGAAAATGTAAGGCCATACACACAGAAATGTAACTGCACGTAATTATACCTTTGTTCTCTCTTTAGCTGACTTCCCTACCCCTAGCATGACTGAGTTTGGAACTACATCTTCTAACATTAGAAGGATCAATTGCTCAACCTCCGGAGGTTTTCCAGAGCCTCGTCTTTCTTGGTTGGAAGATGGAAAAGAATTAAATGCCATCAACACTACAGTTTCCCAAGACCCTGAAACCGAGCTCTATGCAGTCAGCAGTTACCTGGATTTCAGTGCGACAAGTGACCACAGCTTCGTGTGTCTCGTCAAGTACGGAGACTCGACCATATCACAGACCTTCCACTGGCAGAAATGTGAGCAACACTGTCCTGGGATGTTGTGACTGTGCAGAATCTAAAATGAAAGTAACTCGGCCAGAGTTTTAGGGTTACGCATGTTGACTTTGACAGGTTTTTGGTTTTGGTTTTGGTTTTGGGTTTTTTTTGCCATAGGGCACATGTGCTCACTGGACAGAGACAGAAGACAGTGAGAAATCACTCCCCAGGGGCGATGGCCATGCCACAATCCCATCTCCTCCATTGTCCCCCTGGGATTTGGGGCATGATGCACAAGCACACATGCCCAGCTTGATTTCCAAGCAGCTAGGCCTAGGACTCAAACGTGGTGAGTTCAACACCTTCACCACTGGCCTCAATAGTATTTTTTATAGTATTTGTAAACACACAAATAGAGTATGTCATTATGACTTTTTTTTTTTGGAGAGATTTTTTGTTTGTTTGTTTGTTTGTTTTTTGCTATAGAGCATGTGCACTCACCAGAAAGACAGAGAGAGACATAGAGACAGAAAGCGGGAAATCACCCCCCAGAGGGATGGCCACGCCGCAATCCATTCTCCTCTTGGGATCTTGGGCATGCACGCACATGCACCCGGCATGAGTTTAAGCCTCCAGGTCCAGGACTAGAACCGCAGTCGACTACGTGGGAGTCCAGTGACATAGCCATTATGCTAACTGCTGGTCCCCCATTATGACTTATTAAGGTCACTATACAAGGTACGAAAATAATGTTACTAATTTTATTTTTTAATAAACATTCTAAAGTTTATGAATCATAATAACTGCCAGTCATCAAGTGGTCAGTCATCTTAGGAAATTATTATAATAATACTATTTTTATTGAAGGCACTAAAATTTGTCTTTTAGAGTTGCCTTCGGAGCTTTGGCACTTCCTCTTAGGGCTCCCCAATACCGTAAATCTATGGTGGCAAACATTATCTTTTTATAGGTGAATGTGCTTTTTTTTTTTTTGAGAGTTGCTTTTTTTTGTTTTTTTTTGTTTTTTTGTTTTTTGTTTTTTGCTATAGGGCGTGTGCGCTCGCCAGACAGACAGAGACAGAGAGATAAAAAGCGAGAAATCACCCCCCAGTGGGGATGGCCACGCCGCAGTCCCTTCTCCTCCATTCTCCTCTTGGGATCTTGGGCATGCACACACACGTGCCCAGCGTGAGTTTTAAGCCACCGGGTCCAGGACGCTAACCGCGGTCGACTATGTGGAAGTCCAGTGACATAGCCATTATGCTAACTGCCGGTCCCTAGGTGAATGTGCTTTTAAAAAACTGCTAGTTTATTCAGAATGAAATCTGGAAAGAGGTGAGTGACAGACTCCTCAAGGACGGCGCCTTACAAAAGAAGTTATTTTTGAGCAAATACTTTATAGGAAGGAAATCCACAGAATTCTCTTTCCTGATAATGTAAAAGCATCTGAAAATATAAAATGAAACAGTTGGGTTTATAAATTTAACCAATTTTTTCCCCAAGAAAGAATGGAGAAGAAGGGATTGTAGCATGGCCATCCCCCCCAGGGGGTGATTTCTCACTTTCCCTCTTTCTGTCTCTCTCTGGCAAGTACATGCACCCTACGACAAAAATCTAAAAAAAATAAATAAATAAATAAAAAATAAATAAAATTTTGGGACCAGAGGTTGGCATAATGACTCTGTCACTGGACTCCCATGTAGTCAACTGCAGTTCGAGTCCCGGACCCAGTGGCTTAAACTCACACTGGACACATGTGCATGTGTGCCGAAGATCCCAAGAGAATGGAGGAGAAGGGATTGCGGCATGGTCATTCCCCCAAGGGGTGATTTCTCACTTTCTGTCTCTCTGTCTCTCTGGCAAGTGTGCATGCTCTATAGCAAAATGTTCTCCAAACAAAACAAAACAAAACAAAACACAAAATGTTTTAATTGCCAGAGGGCATGTGTGCTCATCAGAGAGAGCGAAAGATGAGGGTGGGAAGAGAAAGTACCCGCAATGGGACACTGTCACACCACAATTCTTTTTCCTCATTTCTCGGCCCCATCATGATTTGGAACACACATGCATACGTGCCTGGCATGTTTTTCAAACCATCAGGGAAGAGCTGAGACTTGAACTGCAATCGAGACCGGCTTTCTAGGCATAGCATTTAACGGTGGTGCTACAGGGCCAGCCCAATAAGCTATCTTACTACGCAATTCCAATCTCAGGTTTATAATTTTTTTTTAAGAATATATAAAAGATGATTGAGAGAGATGAGTCTGGAGGTTCAGTAAAACCATGTCAAAATCTGGTTTATCTGTTTAGGGCTGGCCCCATAGCTAGTAGTTCAGGAAGCCAGATCCCACATGGCCAACTGTTGCTCAAATTCTTTCTTTTTTTTTGTTTGTTTTTTTTTGAAGAGGTTTTTGTGATAGGGTGCATGTGCTTGCCAGAGAATCAGAGAGACAGAAAGCAAGAAGTCAGCCCCCAGGGGGATAGCTACACTGCAATCCCTTCTCCTCCATTCTCCTCTCGGGATTTTGGGCACGCACGCACGCACATGTGCCTGGTGTGAGTTTAAGCCACCGGGTCCAGGACTCAAACTGCGGTCGACTACATAGGAATCCAGTGACGTAGCCATTACACCAACTGCTGGTCGCTCCAAAGATGTTTTTAAGCTGACAGGACTTTTAGTTTAGGAGAGAGACACATACAGGAGGCTAAGGCAAAGATATCTAGAAGTATCATAATCTGAAATGGGCTATCATAGAATTATTTTGTTTGATTTTATTTATTTATTTATTTATTTATTTATTTATTTATTTGACCAAAGAGGGACAGAGTGAGAGAGAGAGAAAGGGAAAGTGAAAAAGCAAGCCGCCAGGTCCAGGACTTGAACCATGGTCGGCCATGTGTGAGTCCAGCACCTTTAACCACCATGCTACCTGCTAGCCTCCTGGGATCTTCCACTTTCTCTGGTAAGCACACATGCCCTCTGGCATTAACCAATTTTAGATGATTCTGAGTAAAGGTGAAGAGGGGTACAGAGATCAATAATTATAGCTTGAATCATATTTTATCTGGACATTAATTATATATAAAATATAGATATAAATGATGTTCCAGGACAGGGATTGGCGAATTGTTTTCTGAAAAGAGCCACATATTAAATATTCTAGGCTTTGGAGGTCAGTATCTGCTGCAACAATTCCATTCTGTTGTGGCAGCACAAAAGTAGTCCTTGATAAGATGTAAATGAACGAGGTGGCTGTGTTCCAACAAAATTTTATTTAATAAAACAGGTAGTTGGGGCCAGCGGATGGTGTAGCAGTCATGTCACTGAACTCTCACATGGCTGAGCATGGTTCTGAGTCCTAGACCCTGTGGCTTGAAACTCATGCCTGGCGCATATGTGTGCGGGCGCCCAAGATCCCAGGAGGGGAATGGAGGAGAAGGGATTGTGGTAGAGCCATCTCCCGTTGGGGGTGACTTCTCCCTTTCCCCTCTCACTGTTTCTGTCTCTACCTCTCTCCAGAGAGTGCATATGCCCTAAGGCCAAAACCTCTAAGAATAAATAAATAAATAAATAAATAAAACTTGTAGGCCAGATTTGGCCATGTTTAGAGTTTACTAATGTAGGGAACCAGCAGTTAGCGTAATGGCTATGTCACTGGACTCCCACGTAGTCGACCGCGGTTCGCGTCCCAGACCCGGTGGCTTAGAACTCACGCCAGGCGCGTGTGTGTGCATGCCCAAGATCCCGAGAGGAGAATGGAGGAGAAGGGATTGCGGCGTGACCATCACCTCTGGGGGGTGATTTCTCGCTTTCTGTCTCTCTGTCTCTCTGTCTGTCTGGCGAGCGCACGCGCCCTACAGCGAAAACCTCTCCAAAAAAAAAAAAATAGAGTTTGCTAATGTATAGGTTTTAACTTGGTTGTTCAAGAGCTTTAGTGCATAAATACCTCAAATGTCATTAACTGGACTGTAGGGATCACTCAGAGTAAGATCAAAAGCAAATAGGCCTTTGTGGGCGGCCAAGGGCTGACTGCACACACAGATGCTCATCAGATGTGCAACTCGTAGAAATGCTGCAGGTCAATGTGAGTAAGCATTGCTGTGTACACATCCAGTCTGAGTTCGCACTTTCCCTCTGTCTCTCTCCGGCAAGCATATGCATCCTATGGAAAATAAATACATAAATAAAAGATCTCTTTAGAATCTTTCTTATGCCAGCTTATCTTGGTAAATGTCAAAGTTTAACTTGTCCTTTTCACATTCGATATCTTAACATCTAAATACCAGTTGCCACAACTGTGTGTCCAATTGAAGAATTATGCAAGAAAAATGCTAGTAGCTGCATTCTGGAGAGCTGACCAGGCAAAGAAGTGAAAACACTCCACAGTTGCCTCGGTAGGAAAGGCACAGAGTGAGTATCAGGTGTAGAACACATAGGAGTTGACATTATTGTTTCCCCTCCACAGCCAGAAACGAGCCTTATATTTTGAACTCGGTGTGGATCACAGTTGGGACTGTGGCTGTCGTGGCTGTCGTGCTATTGCCATTGCTATTCTGTGGTATATACAGTAAGTACCAGCCTATTGTCATGATCTCAGTTTCTGGAAGCCCAAACTCCATCAGTGTGTTTCGGCCTCGCTCTGAGGTTTTAGCCTATTTTTGTGTCATGTTTGCAGCAAATGGAGGAAAAGCTCAGCATCTCCTTCACTTGTCTCAGCAAGTTCTATTTTTCGTAACTTGGTATTTTCTTGGAGACACTGAGGCTTGCTAACTAATTCGAAAACATTTCTGATGCTAAATGATACTGATTGGAGTTGGAGGACAGGCAGAATGACAAGATTGGGAGCAGAGGACTAAGAACCATGTTGTTGGAGGAGGGCAAGAAACTACTGGGGCCAACATTGGGCATGGTGGTTAAAGCGCTGGACTCCTAAATGGTCTTCTGTGGTTTGAGTCCAAGGTCTGGTAGCTTGAAAATCACGCCAGGCATGTGCGCTTGCGTGCATGACCAAAGTCTCAGGAGAAGGGACTGGGGTATGGCCATCCCATCCCCACCGGGGTGATTTCTCACTTTCCCTCTCTGTCTTTGTCTCTTTCTCTCCAGCAAGCACATGCACCCTATAGCAAAAAAAAAAAAAAAAAAAAGTTGAGAAATTACATGGCTATCAGTGATTTTACCAATTCTTTTTCTTTCTTTTTTTTAAAAGAATTATTTATTTAATTTTATGTATTCATTCCTTTATTTTAATTTGACCAGAGAGAGACAGAAGACAGAGAGAGAAAGTGGGAAAGCAAGCTACCAGGTCCGAGACTCAAACCATGGTCGGCCATGTGGGAGTGTCCAGCCCCTTAACCACCACACCACCTGCTGGCCAACCACCCAACCAATTCTTTTTCTTTTTTCCTTCTCCTCCTTCCTCTTCTTTTTCTAGCTTTTTGCCATAGGGTGTGTATACTCACCCAAGAGAGACAGAGAGAGAAACAGTGAGAAATCACCACCACCACCCCCCTGGGAGAGGATGGCCACACCACAATCCCTTCTCCATGTTTCTCTCCAGATTTTGGGTACAATCGCACATACACCTGGTGTGATTTTCAAGCCATTGGCCCGATGGACTTGAACCATAGTCAGCCATGTGGGAGTCCAGTGCCTTAACCACCATGCCACACGTTATGGCCCCACCAATTATTAATTCTTCAGAATATATTTTTGGAGAAAAGATCAGGAGTGGTTGATGAAAGAAGAGCTACCTAGGATATTTTACCTTATGAATTTAATATTTTGGCCTTATATGTAGACTACCTTTTTTTTTTCTTATTGAGAGATGTTTGCTATAGAGCATGTGTCCTCACATGCACACGTGCCAGGTATGAGTTTTAAGTCGTGGAGACCTGGGAGTCCAGCAATGTACTGCTACACCATCTGTTGGTCCCTGTAGGATACCTTCAATCTCTAGTTCAGTGAACAGGTACTGTTAGGTCAGCATTATGGCCATAGTCACCATGAAGGGACACCAATCTTCCTTAGAAGTATTGTACACTCGGGAACCAGCAATGAGCGTAATGGCTATGTCGCTGAACTCTCACGTAGTTGACCACGGTTCGCGTCCCGGACCTGGTGGCTTAAAACTCACACTGGGCGCGTGTGTGTGCGTGCTCAAGATCCCAAGAGGAGAATGCAGGAGAAGGGATTGCAGCGTGACCATCCCCCCTGGGGGTGATTTCTCGCTTTCTGTCTCTATGTCTCTCTCTGTCTGGTGAGCGCACGTGCCCTATAGCAAAAAAAAACTCTCCAAAAAAAAAAAAAGAAGTCTTGTACACTGAGCAGAAAACTCTGTAAGTCCGAAATCTAATTTTCTCAACCTTCAGCACACACACAGACACACACACACACACAGATGCCAGAGCTCAGTAGAGTGACTAGAGGTTCTGGGCTATGGACATTCACCCCACGAGTAGGATTAATAGGTCGGATGACCTCAAGGATCTTCCCAGAGCAAACTGTCCAGTCTTTGTCTTCTAGTCTGGGATTTCTTGTCCTCAGCACTACTGATAATTGGGGCCAGATCAGTCTTTGTTCTAGTGCACAGTTCTGAGCACGGGAGGGTGTCTACAGGTTCCCAGGTTTCCTATCCTCCACTTACTTTATACCAGGAGCACCCCCATGCCCATTTGTGACAACAAAATTGTCTCCAAGCTTTGCCAAATGTCCCTGGGGGAGAAAAGGTGTGTTGGAAATCACCTCTGGCTTGAAAACTACTGTTGTAGTTTCTAGGCCAGTCCAAAAGCTGGTTGAAATATATGTATATGATTTCAGAGAAACTCACGCATCGTTTTTGTTGTTTGTGCTTGTCTCTAAGACTATGTTACAAGATGGAGGGACAGAAGAAGGCACGTGGAAACGGTGGAGATGGATACAGCATCTGCAGACGTGTAAGGCTGAACAGAACATCTGCAGGTAGCCGCTCTTAGCGCTTCTGTCCATGTGGGACACAGGGGGCGCTGGACCATGAGGCAGTCTTTTCTTCCTCTCGGAACCAAATTTGTTTTTACCTCCTATCCACCCTCTGCAAAAACCTCACTCAGATTGCTCTAAAGACAAAGGGTACCTGGCATCCCTCTCCTTCCTTACTGAACACAATTTGCTTATTGCAACCACTTCCTTTTCTGTGTCATTCTGCCAGTGTAAATGTTCCGTTCAACCAGTTTAGTGTCTTTCCTTACCTACAAAACAACTGAGTTCATCTTGGCACCAGCAGTTGGTGTAATGGCTATGTTGCTCAACTCCCATGTAGTTGACTGCGGTTCGAGTCCCGGGGGTGATTTCTCACTTTCTATTTCTCTGTCTCTCGCTGTCTTTCTGGCAAATGCACATGCCCTATAGCAAAAATCTCTAAAAA